TGTAAGTGCCACTTCGGAAGCCATCTCTTTGCTGATGCCCGTGTCCACCGCATCCACGTCTCCACCGAGGGCGGCTTTGGGCTCTTCCTGGTTGGAGAAGATGGCGCCCTCCTTCTCCAAGGCCCGGAGATACAGTTCTAGGAGCTGCTTGGACTGGCGGGCCTCCTCTCTCTGGTCAAGCACCCGCTGGAGCGAGTCCTGGAGCCTTTGGACAGTGGCACAGCTTTGGCAAAGCTCCTGAGCCAGTTCTGAACACGGGATGTCAATGAGCACTTGGAGGTCCTCTTCTGAGAGCAGGATGATGCTGGACAGGTCCTCTTTCAGCTGCCTGGCCACATTCTTCCACTTCACCCCGGCTCCGCTGTCTGTTTCGTCGGCATCAAAGGATTCTTGGGAAACCCAGGCTGTTCCTCCATCCGAATTGTTATACGTCCACTTCTCATTACAGGCCAATGCCACAAACTTGGTATTGGAAGGGAGACAAAGGAAGTAGTCGTCATCGTCCACTATTGTACCGTCCTCTGCCAGGACCAGGGTGACTGGTGTCAGGGACTCATCAATGGCCAGTACTTCGCAAGCTTTGCGCCTCAGCTCCTCGAGGCAGGAGGCCCCCACGCTGTGCTGATCGAGGTTGTGGTTGCTGCGCAGCAGACACGGCTTGAGAGGCCGGATATCGTCCGGGTCCGGGTCCGGGTTGCTGGCTCCCCGCGACAGCGCCATCCTCCTCAAAGTGCAACCTGATAGACTGGGAAATCGTGGACAGTCCAGAGCCGCTTTCCAGGTCGCGGGCACCCCTCCTCCCGTGGCCTGTCGGGAGATGTAGTTCTCGCCACAGCAAGTGACCTGACAGCAAGGCGCGCCGGGAGATGTAGTGCTGGCTAATCGCGTGCGTTTCAGGGCACTACTGGAGTTCTGTGGTTTCTGGAATGTTTCCGTCTGTGTCAGGGTTCTTCTTCTCCGCTCTCGGGGGGAGTGTTTTTCTTCTTCTGGGAGACGAAAGGAGGACGCAAGACACAACAAAACCCACGTGGCGAGGTTTATTGCAGCGTGCGCAACAGTGAAGGGATTTTTTTTTTTTTTTTTTGGTTTTTCCAGACAGGGTTTCTCTGTGGTTTTGGAGCCTGTCCGGGAACTAGCTCTTGTAGACCAGGCTGGTCTCGAACTCACAGAGATCCGTCTGCCTCTGCCTCCCGAGTGCTGAGATTAAAGGCGTGCGCCACCACCGCCCGGCTTCTTGCATATTTTAAAAATGGGTATCCAAATATTCTTGCCATAAAACTGAAATAATTACAAAGAATTCAGTTTTCACGGCATTTTAAATGTTGACGTTTAAATATGGTTGACATTTTAAATATAGTTCACTATTTTAAAAGTCCCTAGTGGAGGGCTGGAGAGATGGCTCAGCGGTTAAGAGCATTGCCTGCTCTTCCAAAGGTCCTGAGTTCAATTCCCAGCAACCACATGGTGGCTCACAACCATCTGTAATGAGGTCTGGTGCCCTCTTCTGGCCTTCAGGCATACACGCGAACAGAATATTGTATACATAATAAATAAATAAATATTAAAAAAAAAACTAAGAATTCTTGTGTGGGTACCTGGGTCACACACACATAGTTTTCCTTGTCCCTGTTTGCACTGGATGAGCACAAATTACATTCAAAAAAAAAAAAAAAAGTCCCTAGTGGAGTCTCAATGCCACTACAAGACCATTATCAATATCTATTCATAAAAATTTGGATAAGCCTGTTTTTCATAGGCAGAAAGTTTGTGCTATGTTTTTTTCTTTCTTGAATATGGATTACACCATCTGCCTGCCTCTGCCTTCCTCTGCGGTTGTTCATGAATCTCAGTTCTTGAGAGGCAGAGGCCAGTGGATTTCTGAGTCCCCGGCCGGTTTAATCTACATAGTTCCAGGCCAGCTACACAGTCAGCTCCAGGTTAGTCAGGGATAACTAGTGAGATCTTACCGTAAAAAAAAAAAAAAAAAAAAAAAATAGAAGGAAGAAATGAGTGTTATTTGGGGGCAAAAATCAAGGTAAAGGGAACTGAGATTGCTAGGAGCAATCTTATTCAGGGTGGGCTGGAGGGTAGATGTGTGTGAAGGCACACGGGTGCCACACTCGAGAGTGGAGTCAGAGAGAGTGGGAGAAACAGTCTAATACCAAACGGTCAGCTCTGAACACGCACAGGTCACATTATACAGACTGAGCAAGTTATGTTTAGGAATATCTCCATATATATATATTTGTATGTATATACACGTCACAACAATTAGGGAAAAAATAAGACATTAATTTGAAAAAGAGCAAAGAGAATATATGGGCAGGTTTGGAGGGAGGAAAGAGAAGGGAGAAAAGATGTGATATTATAATCAAATATAATCAAAAATCAAAGAACAAGAATTAAAAGAAGAGCAGAGGTCAGACAAGAATCTGCAGGGGTATGTTCTCTTTTTTCCAGCAAGTGGATCCTGGGGATCCAACTCAGGTCACCAGCTTGGCAGCAGCTGTCTGTACCTGAGGAGTGTCTCGCACCCCATTGTTCCTTCCCTTCTTCTTCTTTACCTTCCTCCCCACGCTCTCTTTCCCCATTCGTGTATGTGTGTGTGTGTGTGTGTGTGTTGATTTGCCTGGGTGATCAGTCATCTTTGCAAAGATGACTGTCTTGGCTTGGGCGCAATAACAGATACCACAGAACGGATGGATTAAAGGGCTGGATTTTACTTTCTCCTAAAGAGATGGGGACTTTGACATCAGGCTCCAGCCTGGCTGGGTTCTAGGGTTCTAGTGTGGTCCATTCCACTGGGGGCAGGCAGGGCTTCAACATAAAGGGGGAACACAGGTCAGTCTGCAGCAATAAGTGAGCAAGCTCTGGAGAGGGCACACCGCCTGAATACTGGACAGAGGACTTGGGGCAGAGCAAACAGCTGAAGCAGGGGCCCTGGGTCAGCTTGGTACCCAAGAGAGTGACCCAAGTGTCCAGAGCAGATGACAAGGAAAGAGTAGATAAGAGAATCAAGAAATGATAGGGTACGGTCAAGTCAGATTGAGCCTTGAAGCCATGGTGAGGACTTCTGCTTTTGTTTGGCGAGAAATGAGGAGCCAATCGTTGGAGGGTCTGAGTGGAGTGCACCCTGAGAGGACAGGTGCTCTCACGTAGGTGGGCAGCAGCAGGGTCTGGGGAGCCGTGGGGGCTGCTTTTCTGCTCCTTCATTGAGAATGAGCAGAGGGCACACTTGAGGTTTCTCAACTGCCCATACTCTGTGCTGTCACCCCTTACTGCTCTCAGCATTTGTGAAGTCAGACATTTCCTTATTTATTTTAAGGCAGGGTCTCATGTAGCCCAGGCCAGCCTGGAACTCAGTGTATAGCCAGGGAGATCCCTGAACTTCTGACCCTCATATTTCTATCAAGCATGGCCACCAAAACAATTTATGTGGCATTGGGTCTCAGACCTAGGACTTCATGCATGCTTGGGTCAGCCAAGCTCTACCTCAAGCCCCTGTCATACACCTAGTGACCCTCCCACCACTGCACCTTCAGAATCCATGGTCCTGTGGAGGTCCAAAAATATGAGCCTATTTTCTTTCACTTTGTCTGTAATCAGAGAGTTTGAGGTTGCTCAAAACTGTTGACAACCAGGGTTACACATCCTGACCTAGGGCGTGGTTACTTGGTTCTTTTGACATTAAGAGGGCCCACTTCACCCTGACCATTGGTCAGGAAATTCAGTACTTCTGCTCCTTCTTTTGACATAGGAGGTTTGACCTTGGGAGTGGTCGCCTTTAGGATACTTGGTCCAGGGTGGGTTCACTGTAAACAACTGAATGCTAAAGACTTGATTTCTCCAAGTAGTGAAGCAAGTAACTATTCTAGTTGCCCCGTGGACCACGTTAAAGCAGTCTTTTGTTTTCTTCCCCCTGGGGTATAAAAGTATGTGGGGAGGGGCTGGAGAGATGGCTCAGAGGTTAAGAGCATTTGCCTGCTCTTCCAAAGGTCCTGAGTTCAATTCCCAGCAACCACATGGTGGCTCGCAACCATCTGTAATGGGGTCTGGTGCCCTCTTCTGGCCTGCAGGCATACACACAGACAGAATATTGTATACATAATAAATAAGTAAATAAATAAATATTTTTTAAAAAGTATGTGGGGAATTAAACGCAGGGATTTCACTATTCACTGGAACTCCCTCCTGGGAGTCCTCTCTCCTGTATTTTCTTTTTTTTTTTTTTTTTAATATTTATTTATTATGTATACAATATTCTGTCTGAATGTATGTCTGCAGGCCAGAAGAGGGCACCAGACCTCATTACAGATGGTTGTGAGCCACCATGTGGTTGCCAGGAATTGAACTCATGACCTTTGGAAGAGCAGGTAATGCTCTTAACCACTGAGCCATCTCTCCAGCCCCCTCCTGTATTTTCTGTTTTCTTATTTTCACTTGCATCTTTGTCCTTACCATTTTACTGATCCCCATCCCCTACCCTGGTAAGTGGTATCTTTGTCAAAGCTGGTCTCTGACAGGCCCTCTACCTGATTGTCTAAAGACACAGTCTCTCACCCAGCTGGAGGATACCATTTCTTTTAGCCTCGCTGGCCAGTGAGCTCTGAGGATCTGCCTGCTTCTCCTGTCCAGTGCTAGAGTTACAAGCATATAACACATAAAATGTTGGGGATTTGAACTCAGGATCTCACACTTGCAGAGCAAGTGTTCTTATCCATGGTGTCTCCCAACCCTTTATGTAAACTGCAGTCAGACCGTGGCAAACTAACACTGAGTTTGGGTCCACCTTGTTTTCAGGTTCAGGCATGGTGGCGTGGAAACATGGTGCGGAAAGGATATGGGGCTTTTGAAGAGCTACTGAGAGCCCGAAGAAAAGGGAAAAACTCTCCAAAAGATAAGAAAGGGAAAAAGGCTGCTGCCAAAGTAAAACCCGCAAAAAGGAAATAAAAAATAACTGTGGAAATGAATGAATGAAGGTGAAGATTGTTAACAGAGCGGGAAGGCCGCGTGTCTAGAGCCCAGACACAGCCGCAGGAAAATTATCCACCAACTTAAGGTTATCTGCAATAATGAAAGATTCTTAATTTTGCTGAAATGTGTATGGGAAGCATGACATAACGCCTGGTAAGTGCTTCAAGATAGCTTACTAGAGGAGAAAGAGGACATGGGTTCAGATGAAGCCAGACAGGGCCAGCTGTTAGCGACAACCACGGAAGTAGGTGATGAGCATGTGGGGCCTTGCATTCTTCTGTCTACTTAAAAGCATTTGGGGAAGTCAGGTATTTACAAGAAGTTCCAGGGAAACATACAACAGATCCAAGAACCTTTCACAGAGAGTACACAATGCTAGGGTAAATAAGGCAGAACACTGATGTTGGTTCAGCCAACAGCACTTACTCAGATTCCAGCAGTTACATGTGCACGTGTGTACATTGTGTAGCTCAATGCAATTGTGTCACACACAGCTTTGTACAAACACCGCTGTAGTCAGACACGCTGCTCTTCATAAGTCTCCACTGTGACATCCGTTTGCTGTTACACTGCCACTTCCCACCAAATCCTAACTCACCCTCCATTTCCCTCCAAATGATATCTACCTGCAATTTCCCTAAAACTTCTCATTGTATTTATTTACTCTGCGTGCGTGTGTGTGAAGGCGAAGGCGTAAGTCACAAACAATCCCACACCAGTTTGGAATTATGATTAATAGAATGGTTATTTACTTAAAGGGGAAAAAACTTACTGATCATCGTCCCAGACAACAGCCCTCTGCGCAATCAGGAAGGGAGTCTAGTCGCCAGAAGCGGAGCAGGAAGTTAAGAGACAGTGAGGAGGGAAGTGGCCGCTTTTTTAAAAAGAGATACCACGCCCCAGTGGCTGGTATCCCAGCGGCTATTGGCTGGAGGAGCAGAAGGACCTCCCGCAACGTGCGTGCTTCTGTGTGTGTGTGTGTGTGTGTGTGTGTGTGTGTGTGTGTGTGTGAATGAGTCTGCCACAGCACATAGGAGGTCACAGGGCAACTTTTGGGACAGTCAGTTCTCTCTGTCCACCATGTGAAGGTGTTGTGATATCACGCAGGTCAACAGGCCTTGTGGCAAGCACCTTTATTTCACCAGCTCCAGGAATGACTTTTTTTTTTTTAATTCTTCAAACTTTTATTGATTCCCTACAGATTTCACACCATTTATCTGATCCCACCCATCTCCCCGCTTTGAATTCACCCTCCACGTGTCCTTGCAACTTCCCCCCAAATAAAACAAAATTTAAAAGAAAACCCCCAAACCAAGCAAAGCAAACAAACAAAACAAAAGAAACAAAAACCAAAATGAAACAAAAAAGGGAGGGGGGGAAGAATCCAGTCATGGAGGCCGTAGTGTGGCCGAGGGTGTCAGGCAGCTCACCGTTTAGTCCTTCATCCTCACTTCCAAGCCTTCATTGTCCTGACTCAATGGTCTGAATTGAGCTCTCCGGCCCCTGCTGCCAAGCCTGACGATCTTAGTTCAATCCCCGGGACCTACATGATGAAGCAAGTTGTCCTCTGGTCTCCACACACGTACCATGGCATGCACATGCCTCCCCTAATAGTAAATTTTAAAACGTGATAAAAATTATGTTTAAGATCAGTATTGTTCAAAAGTAAAGTCATTAAGATGAGGTGGTTTTGAGAGCATTAGAAGGAGGTGCTCTGTGGGTTCCTTCCTCTTGGGTACCCCCCAAGAATTCATAAGCATCTGTGTTTATACAGAGACCTTTTATTCATAATGAATAACCATTCAGTAATGTGTATGTGCTTAAACAGATTGCAAGCCTAGGCCACGTGCCCAACAGCAAAGGCCACACACAAACTGACCAGGCCCACTGGTCAGTTAAGCTTCCAGTTAAGCAAAAGACTATGCTTGCTTTACAAAGTCAGTCCCAGGGGGTTCTCTAGCCCTGGGCCAGAGACGCAGCAACAGCAACAGCTCTGCACCATGCCCTGTGGCTGCTGGTGGGCGCAAGAACTCAACCTAGTGCAGAGGCACCAGACAGTCAGACAGCATTATAGTGAGCAAGCAGAGCGTGGGAAGGTGGAGGAGAGAAGGAGGTAGAGCCATTCATGGACTGGAGAGAGGTGTGAATCAGAAGAGGTGAGGGTGGTGAGGAACACGCTTCTGGAATATTCCTTTATGCTGTGTGAAAATGTGTCATTGGACTGGTTTAATAGAAAGCTGATAAATAAAAGAATAGCTAGGCAGGAGGTATAGGCGGGACTTCTGAACAGAGAGGGCTCTCGGTAGAAAAAAGGAGTCACCAGCCAGATGCAGAGGGAGCAAGTTATGCAGGAGGCCTGGCCTTCGCTTCCCCACTTGATCTGTTTTGCACTCTTGAGGTCTGAAAAGGTGTCTACTGACACATGGACAAACTTAAGTTTCCCTGCGGTGGGCAGGTATGTAATATCCATCTGCCCAATGGCCCCCCCCCCTTTTACACTGTGGGCACTTTTCCTGGACTGGCAGTAGTTCCCTGAGGGAGCTGTGGGCATTTTTTTTTAATGTTTAGGGTACCACAGTTAAAGTAGGTTTTATCCCCAGTTGTCTGGGGTCCTCACCCTGGCAGCGGCAATCGCCTGGCCCTGAATCAAGTGCCCATCAATATCCCGGCAGATCTGAATGTATTCATTTAAGCTTTTTACCCTTTGTGGCCACAAGGCTTCCTTACAGTATTTATTTGCATTCTCAAATGCCAGTTGCTTAACTATTGGGCATAGTTGTGGTCACATCACCAAACAATTTCCAGGCCAACTGCAATAGCCTATCCACATAGTCCTGAAATGGTGCTGAAGGCCCTTGTCAAACTTTGGACAGCTGATCCCCCGCAGCCCTGTTTGGCAGGGCTTTCCAACCTTTGGTAGCAGCAGCAGCCATTTGGAGATATACGGCAGGATCGAGAACAATTTGATCAGCCAAGTCAGCATAAGCTCCTGCTCCAGTTTGCATGTCTAGATTGCACTGTGGCAGTCCCGCTTGAGCATTTAACCTAGCTGTTTGTAAACAATTTTCTTGATATTCTCCCCTCCACAATAAGTAATCTTCTCCCGATAGAACTGCACGGCATAGCTGCTGCCAATCGCTAGGTGTAAGATTCAATGCCGCAAGAGATTCTACAACGGCAAGAGTAAAGGGGGCCTGAGCGCCCTATGCCGCCGTGGCCTCTTTCAACTGCTTCATCTCCTTAAAGCTCAAGGCCACATGTTGTCTCAGCATCTGTCCTGGATTGTTAGATCAGGTACCTCTATGACCGGAGGTACCTGAATTCAGTAAAATCACAGCAGATTCAAACCACTGTCTTGTGAGTTTGTCTGTCATCGCCAACCTCGTGCCTTCCTGAGTACCAAGACCCTGCTTCTTCCACGGTCTGAGTGGCTCCACTGAGACGGTTCGTGGCAGGGTTACAAACTGGATAAATACAACACACGGCAAAGTGTTTCCATCTTTATTTAAAGCCAAAAGAGTTATTTTTCTTTTTGTGATAGAGTTCACACTGTAGCCCAGGCTGGCCTGGGACTCCCAGCTGTCCCTTTTATCTCAACTTTCAGTGTTGAGTTACAGGTGTGAGCCACCACACCCAGGTCTGGGCTCTTGAGTACGTCAGCCTTTGTTGCCCAGCTTATGCATGTAATGTGGAACGTGGATCTGCGCCTGTGGAGCTTGGGAGGGGAAACCCAACTTTCCATGATCTCACACACAATTTTTACAGTTTCCTTAGTGATTTTGTAGAGCACTAAGGGGTGTAAAAAGATTGCTGTTATTTAAATTTTTTGAAGGAAGATTAATATTTTACTTAGAAGAAAGGTAACCCTGAATACATAGCGTAAGTACAAATAGCAAATAACTCCACGGAAAAGCACCCTCGATGCAGGAAACTGAAAGGCAAGTATTAGGAAAGCTGAATAAATGCTTCTAAAAATACTGTCTGTGCTATTACTTCACAGGAGAGAGGGCAAAGAGCAAAAGTCAAAGCGAGCACTCTGAAATTTTAGATTGTGCAAAAAGTACTTTTTCTGCTAGTAAGAAACACACAGGATTGTGAGCTGATGAAGAAATAAACCTCCTTCCTCTTCATCACCGGAAACTCACACACACACATACACACACACACACACACACTCAGGCATATACGCATTCACACACACCTACACCCCACACGCGTATGCATGCACACACACACACACAGGCACACACACACATGCACGCACGCACACCCTTCCACACACACGCGCACAAATTTGCACCTGCGTGCCACTCCACCCCACGCCCAGCCCAGACACCTCCCCAACCCCTACCCCCATGCCTTCACCATCCTTCATCTTGCTCCATTAGGAAATTTGGTTTGCAGGCAGGGCTGCATTTTCAGTACTCCAAGATGTACTATAATTTTAGCTTTTACCAATGCCACTGTCAAATGTCAGGTTTCAAAAGAGCATCAATGTTAGATAAGCTTTGTCGCCGCACACAGGATTCCGAGGGAAGGGAATGTTTGTTTATTTGTCATTAATCTTCCTGATATGACCTTCATAATGTAGTAGGTCTGATAAAGCACTGAGCCTGATTCACAGCATTTCCAGGAGTTCACAATTTCACAGCTTATGTTCTGGTCAAGGTCACACATTTATTAACTTAATATAAAAGACGCTTAAAAGATTACAGACAATAACAATAACTAAGACACACACAGGGGTTAAGGCCCGCACTAATGCCAACAGGGAGATCAGGAGGGCGTGCCACTTTGTCATCTGTGACACATCTGGTGATTAGCATGCTCGCATGAGTCAGGAACAAGGGGTAGGGCATGCCTGCAGTAGCCGAGGGAAGCTGATGGAGGCGGAGGCACCATGCGCTCCTGGCTCCCCAAGTTGTCCTCTTCTCCACAGAGCAGCAGCAGAGTTTTCGTAGTCTCCAGATGTGTCACCCTGGAACCAGACACAGTTAGCTCGATGACTCACAGACGCCACAGGAAATAAGAGACCAGGAGCTATCTGGGCCTTCCCCAAGCTCCTCTTTCTAACCCTTTCTTTATCTCATCTAGTGACCAAATATGCCTGACAGCTCTCTGCACCTGCCGAAATATACTTTTTTGTACCTTGTTATGCAGTAGACACCGTGGGGGTCGGGATCTAGCAAGCCTATCCATAAAATTCAAAGTATATTTTATACCGCTCTTTGTCCATCAACATTAACCCGTCTGTTCCCTTGCTCATCATACACCCCCGTGTATGGCAAAGGTTCTGCTGTAGTCTTATACATTCCCATACTGTGCTTCCCTATCCCAGAGCTGTTCCTGAAGAGATAATCCTTGTCTTGTAGATATAAAGAATATCATTATCATAAAAGAGATCATGCAAAGCCCATATCCTGCATAGCCAGCTAATCGAGAAACCCATCTATGCCTCAAGGCGGCCTATACCGGGCCGTCTGCCATTGAACCTCCAGGAAGCCTAGTCCCATAGGACACGCAGCTCCCGACCGGCACAATGACGTATGTCATGTCACACAGACAACACTGGAGTCGGTGTGGCAATCCCCCAATCATTCCTGAGACCTGAGACCAGGTCCTGAGACCTCCTCACAGCGTCAAGCACCTACCTGGCTTGTTGTTAATCGCTCTCTTCTGCAGTTTCTGAGAGCAGTCTCGTAAGGAGCTCGTGCACACGTATGAGGACGTCCGAGTATGGGAAATGGATGATCAGGTACGTCTTTACCTTCTTCAGCGCGCACATGCCCGCTGTTGTGGCAAAGTCCCCGGGGAAGACGCTCGTCCAAGTGTCCAGGAGGGTGCAGATGGAGCTGGTGGAAAGGGACAGACAGGGCACTCAGTGGCCTGGACTTTCCTTTGCCACCCCGCCCAAGACTCCGTGCATGTGAGACTGCAAAGGAGAGGCTATCCAGCCCTTAGCCATACAATGAGCAGGGCTGAGAGGTCCATGGGAGCAGGGAGCTCCATACGCCCCATGCTCAGGCTCTAATGGAGCACAGCTGGGCGAGCCTTCACGCCATGGACTGAGATGAGGGTAGTAGAGTCTCAGAGGGCCACCGGAGGCCACAGGCTTTCCCCATAGCCCCACTTGGCAAGGACCGTGCCCATGCAGTCAATGCTTAGACCTCAGTATGGTGTATGGTGGTAGAAACGTGGAGCGTGAGCCCCAAGCATCGGCCATCCCTCACCCTTGGTACCCAAGGGAGCCCACCCTGCAGAGCCAAGGCCTTTCTCTCTCATGTTGTAAAGCTCACTTACTTCTTGAGCCGCTCATCCTCCTGGCAGCCGGGGCGGAAGCGTGCATACCTGGAGGAGACCAGGAAGGAAATGTTACCTGTGGAGTCCCAGTTCCCTACCTAAAAGACATCTCGGGGGGCCTGCTGACTCCTGGAGCAGAATCAAAGTCCAGAGCCTAGAAGTTCTCTGTGCTCTCAGGTTATTAGTTCACCTGTATTCTGTAGTGCTTCAAATATGTTTGTGCAGTATGTCTACCCGGACATCTCAGTGGACACAGGTTCCCTCGGATTATCCTCCTCGGGTCTCCACTCAAGACCCATCTCTAGCGGGTGCTCCAATATGAATTCTAGAACCTCGTTTACAATGGGAGTAGCGCTTTGACCAATGCTTCAGAAAAACTGGCCAAGGATAGAGAGCTTCCTGAAGGTGCAGAGGACACCCACACTCACACTCATTAGGGTCACAGCAGTCCCTAGGGTCCAACCTGGAGGTAGTAATGTCTGACTACATGCTGCTGGCTTCTGACAAGACTCTAGCAACTAGGTAGGCTCAGAGAAAGGCAGAGGCTTCCCATAAACGACAAGAGGATGTGAGGCCTCTGAGCTCGGAAGTGGGCACTCACCGCCTGAAGATGACATCCAGCACCTGCTCAATGGTGGTATGAGCAGGGTAGCTGCTCAGGAAGGCCATGAGATACTCGCGGTCACCGTTCTGAAGGGAAGTGATCAGGTCTTCGACCACTTCCTCCAGATCCCCGAAGTCTAAGATCTTAGGGTCCCCGGGGAATGAGTCCTTCTGGTCCTGCAGCTGGTCCTGTGGGGCGGAGTCTACTGGGTCCCTGCAGATGGATTCCATCTGGTCCTCTTGGTCCTCAGGGGTGGAGCGCACCGGGTCCCCGGGGACCGAGTCCAGCTGGTCTCCTTGATCCTCCGGGGTGGAGCCCATCGGGTCCCCAAGGACCCACTCAGTCGGGTTCCTGGGGACTGATTCCCGCTGGTCCTCTGCCACCTGAGGAGAGATCAGGGTGGGTGGTTCAAACTGGCACAGGACTGCAGTTCATGATCGGTTATTATCATTCCACGTTTTCCTGACCCCTTCACTCTGCCAAACACCAAGAGTGAAATTTAGGAAAACCGAGATTTCAAAGTGGTTACCTGGCCTACAGTGGTCTGGCTCTCGCTGCCCCGTCTCATCTGGCCGAATGGCCAGAGGTGCTGGTGCCAAGAGCGAACCAGGCGTCTCCAGGCACCTCCTAGGCCATGGCTTCTTTTTTTCTTCCTGCCATTACTCACGCAGCAGCAACTCCACCAGCAACAAGAATCCATTACGAATCTTCAGTCTTGTCTCAAGACAAGTGAGCCTTCTGGGCTGTCTGTAAGCAGTTGGCTGCCTGGTTGTAGGTTTCTGCAATGTGATGTCACTGTTAAGGAAGTGAGGTCACTCCTGGGGTCCCCATGCCTGAGTCTCCTCACACAGGGCTTTCCCAAAAGTCTCTTAGACCCCCTCCCTCCTCCCACGTGCACTACTTGACACAGAAAGATACAAAGGTGCTTCCTATTTCACTGCTCCTAGGAATGTCTGGCTACAGGCAGCACCTCGGCTTTACAATCTGAGCTCCTGTTGTTGACCTGCATCTGGAATTCTAAACCCAACCCTAATTGCCCCAGCACACCTTAAACCCTTGCCATGTTGCCTCGCTTCTAGGCTACTTTGTGTGTGTTCTCTGTGAAATATGAACACACATCATCTGTTTGTTGGGTTTTCATGAGCATCTAGAGTGGGACTTTTTTTAGCATTTTTTTTTTAAATTGTTTGTATTGTTTTGTTTTGAGACAGGATTTCTTTGTATAGCCATGGCTGTCCTGGAACTCACTCTATAGACCAGGCCGGCCTGGAACTCCCAGAGACCCACCTGTTTCTGCTTCCTGAGTACTGGGAATGAAAGCATGCACCACAACCAGGGTCAAGAGTGAGGCACTTGTATAGTTAATTATAATCGTGTGCTTTTTTGAAAAAAAATTATTATTATTATTATTATTATTATTTTTTATTTATGTTACAGACTCCTTCAGGTCTCTGCACCTAGGCATCACCAATGTCTCCTCCTTTATTCTGAAAATTTGCCAGCACGGGAAGTGGTGCAGGGAAAGACACTGAGGAAAGATCCAGCCAGGAGGCCGGGAGCCTTCAGCAGCTCCTCCCCACTTCCCATCTTCCCCACTGACTGCTGACCTTCACTACTGCCCCCGTGTGGAGGAACGGGACACAGCCGGTGAGAATGCCAGGGGAAAGTGCAGTGGGATGTTTTTAAGTACAAGTCTGAGGTGTGGGTAGGCGAGATTGCTCAGTGGTTAAGCGCACTGGCTGCTCTTCTATAGGTCTTGAGTTCAATTCCCACCAACCCCATGGTTCCTCACACCCATCCGGAATGAGATCTGGTGCCCTCTTCTGGTCTGGCATGCAGACATACATGCAGTCTGGATATCTATTCATAATAGGTAAATAAATCTTTAAAAAAATGTAAAACTAAATAAACCTTAAACTTAAAAAATGGTAAAAAAAAGAAGTCAGGGCGATGTTAATAATATCTCAAATATATACATGAATTTATACAAAACAGTAGTATCATATGACTTTGTAGTCTATTTGTGTTCAATATTGGACAATTTACATGAAAATTTATTTCTGTACTTAAATCACAAGGGTTCAAAGTAATCATTTGTCCGTAGCAGGCAGAGCACGGGCCAGCTCTCCTTTACTAAGGAGGCGGTGGCACATCCCTAGAGGAGGGGGCAGTAGGGGTGTGGACAGGGCTTCAGCTGGTGCAGCCCTGTGGCTCCTTGCAAGGCTCAAGAGTATTCCCAGGCCACCCCACATTGGTGGACCATGTTGCCTCATCAACATCCTCACACAGGGATGCTGACAGGCCCCACCCCCGCCTGGAATTGAAGGCAAACCCCTGTGGCAAACTTGCCATCCCTCTCCCTGAATGCCGTTGTTCATACGACTATGCTGTCTAATTCATGCTGCGGGGTGCGCCTCACTTTGCCCCCAGCGTCAGGCACTGGGCCTCACTTGCCCATGGTTCAGACCCTGCTCTGCATGCGTGCAGCAGAGCTGAGCACCAGGGCCTTGCTGTGCACTGCAGGGAGGTCAGAAGAACCTCGCTGATGTCAGAACCGAACTGACCTTGTCTCAGAGGAAGCAGTTCTCTTCCTCGTTTTACAGGTGAGAACAGGGAGGCTCGGGCATGTTAGTGTATATTGGTTGTCAATTCTGCATAACAAACCACTCAACAGCGGAGTGACTAAGGAAATTATTGTTACTGTTATTGTGAGATTATTGTTCACACTTCCACGAGGCATCACTTTCGGCCTGGCTCCACTGAGGGTTCCTTAGGCCATGCTCACGGGACTCACTCATGAGACTATGTTTACCTGGTGAACTCCCAGGCACTCATTGTGTTGGGTCTCAGAAGGAAGCAGGCCATCCTGTCTAGATGGTCTCCATACTCTCAATTCACTCAGGAGATCCTGTCTTTTTCTACTTCGCATGTAGATTAGTCCATGTATGTCTCTCTTAGGGTCCTCATTGTTGTCTAGGTTCTCTGGGATTGTGAATTGTAAGCTGGTTTTTTTTGCTTTATATCTAAAAGCCACTTATGAGTGAGTACATGTGATAATTGTCTTTCTGGGTCTGGGTTACCTCACTCAATATGATGTTTGCTGGCTCCATCCATTTGTCTGCAAATTTTAAGATGTTGTTATTTTTTTCTGCTGTGTAGTACTTCATTGTGTAAATGTACCATATTTTCCTTATCCATTCTCCGGTCGAGAAACATTTAGGTTGTTTCCAGATTCTGACTATGGCAAACAATGCTGCTATGAACATAGTTGAGTCATGTGGCATTCCCCTCTGTATACTGAGAATACCATTGGTTAATAAAGAAATGAAGGCCTTGTGTGAGGTGGATACGCTTTTCAGGACAGAACTGGAGGTGAGTAAAGAAGATGGGGCTGTGCGCTCGAAGCGGCACGGCACATGCCCGTTCAGGAAAGCGCTCGTGAGGAAGGTGCTGGGTGTGCTTTGAGTTAGGAACTAAATCACTTTTAGCATTAAGGAATCGGAAGATGGATAGCCCCAGTTACTTATTTGATGAAACAGAGGAGGGCCCATGGAGCTCCTCTTAGGGTATTAGGAAAACAACCTCTGGGCTCCCGCTGACAGGACACTTTCTCCAAGGGCTGTTAATTAGATCGTGTTATTAGCTCACAGCGGGGAGCAGACATCCTTCGCCTGTAAACTAAAGTGCGCTCGCCATTCAGCTAGTGGGGCTTGCTCGGTCTTTAAAACTGTCTTAATCATTAGTGAGTTAGTTAAACTGTAACATCGTGAGATAAAAATAATGACTGGTGTCACTCGGGAACAAGTCTGAACTGGACTGGTTGTCAGATGCTCTCTGTACAGTCAGCGCTGACAGGGCGGACAGCGTTGATTGCTGGGTGACAGTTGACCCAGCTCAGCAACCTGGTCGCCCATGGTCGAGCAGTATCTTGAGATCAGTGTGATGGGGAGGAAGGGGGTTAGGGGGACGGTCCTGGGGCCTCATCTTCCATTCTCAATCAGCCGGAATTTTACAACATATAGTTGTAATTCGTGTGTTTCTGATGTTTTATTTTGTTATTAATTATTAACGACTCTACCTTGGGAGGTTTTGAAATGATGGCGAAATGATCTGTGTCTCCTTTGTACAGCTGGAAAGATTGCTACCATATCAG